AAAATAATGAACTTATAGGCTGGGGACACAGCTTACTGGCATAATACACAGGCATTATTCTCAGTCTCCAGTACTGCAAAAATCAAGCAGTTAATCAATCAACCCTGGAAAACGAAAAAAAAAAAAAAAAAAAAAAAGAAAGAAAGAAAGAAAAACTAAAGTTCATGGACTGCTGACCTTCCTAAACCTGTCAGTTGGATAGAAACCTAGACATTCTGAGGGACTTTCTAGGCCTCTGGAGCAGGAAGAGCAAAATTGATGTGATTTCAAGCATACCAAAAAGAATTACTCATTAGGGAGAAGGAAAAAATATTTCTCTCCTTCAGTTCTGAGGTGTGTTGTGCCTGTCTCCACGGTGGGCTCCTCAATGGTTAATACCTGCTCTATCCTTTCTTCACTGAGCTCATTTTTCATAGGCCCATGCGGTAAAGACCTGTCCCCCACAACATAGTTATTTTAATCCCCATAGCCTGTGACTATGTTGGGTACATGACAAATGATGAGGTTGCAGATAGAATTAAGGGAGCTAATTAAATGCTAAATAAAGAAATTATCTAAGTGGGGTTGATGTAATCACAGGGGCCTTGAAAGTAGAAACCAAAAACAGAGTGTGAGATAGATTATTACTGACCTGGAAAATGGAAGAGAGGAATTAGCCGAGGAGTTTGGGGCAGCCGCTAGAATATGAAGACAGATTTTTCTATTGAAAGGAAGGAAGGAAGAAGTCCTGCCAACATTGTAACTTTATTTTTGTTTGCCTCCTGCACTCCTGTGCTATTCAAGCACTCTACCACTTAGCTATACCCCAGCCCAAATTTTAGCCCAGTGAGGCCCTTCTTGTGCCTCTGACCAGTATTGTTGTGTCTTTTTTGGACTTTAGTTTTCTTTTTGTTTCTTTGTTTTTGAGACAGGGTCACACTCTGTAGCCCTAACTGGCCTGGAACTGCATACATAGCCCAAGCTGACATCAAACTTACAAAGATCCCCCTCCCTCCGCTTCTCCAGTGTTGGGATTAAAAGAGTGCACCACGTGCAGCTGGTATGTTTTTAAATTTCATGTTAAGAACACACCACAAAATCCTCTTAACAGATTTTTAAGTGTGCACTATTGTTATCTGTAGGGACTTCTAGCATTTATTTCCCATAACTGAAACTTAGTACCATTGACTAAATCTGCCGCTGTTTCATGCCACTAGGATTTGTAGCAACTTGTCAAGGCAGCATGAGGAAACTACTAGTCTCTGCTTTATAGTTTAGTTCAATCACTCAAACGTTTTGTTTTCTTTCTCCAAGAATGCCCTACTTCCTCCCTCCTCAACTCTCAATCTCCAGGAAAGGACTGTGCTGGTTAGTTTCTATTCCCTGCCCCTAGAGAAAAACTAGTACTCATTAGACACTAGCCAGTTGTTAAACTGTGAAAACTGAACTTGTGATTCCTTAATGTTCACGTTTTTTCTGCTGTCAATTAAGTAAGATTTTGCGTGTGATAGACATGCAAAATCCACAAAGTTGCTTTCGAAAGTATGCAGATGATATGATCGAGACTACTCCCATTCTTAAATGTCTGGATATAATCTTGTTTTGTTTTGTTTTGTTTCCCGAGGGAAGATGTAAACACAAATGCATTAGCGTTTATCACGGTTCAAAAGTATCTGGAAAGCTTTTTTTGCATTGCTTACTTGCAGACTGTTCTTAAACCTGACCAATCAGATTTCCTGGTGGCAAGATACTGGAAACTACACTTAAGTTCGTGGCACAACGCTAAGGAGCTCCATTCGTAATTCCTTGGCACCATGGATTATGCGATGAAGCCGCCTGCCTCCACATTTCTACTGCACGACAATCGTTTTGCCTGTTGGAAGCTAAGCTCCTACCCTTGCAAGGCCAGTCGGTGCCTTCGCACTCCGGCGCCTTCTGAGAGAGAGGCCGAGCCCGGAAGCTGACCTTCCGGGAAGAGGATCCCAGTCCTGCGCGCACTCTACGAGCTCAGCCTCGGAGCACCAGCACAGCCCTCGGCTCCACAACCCAATCCACGCGGTGGTCCCACCCTACTGTAAAAACCACAGTGGCCAGGAGCAGCAGCACCGAGCACTGTGGGTCAGGCAGGCGGAGCCCGCCCCCTACTGGCAGTGGATTCCCATTGGCTCTGTGGCTCCGAAGCCTCCTCTCAGCCCCACCCACACCGCGGCAGCGGACGCATGAGAATGGTGCACTGCGCCCGCCGGAAGTAGTTGTCGAGGCGGAAGCTTTTCAGTACCAAATACTGGAAGTACTTCCCCTTCCGGTCTCTTTGGCCTCGGCGGCAGAAGCAAGATGGTGAGTTTTGTGCCTGCGCTCTGTAAATCTTTTGCCATCCTTCTTCCCGGGAACCCCCTGCACGCTGCCCGTGGGTGGCCGGCGAGGTTTAGGATACGGGGAGCCGATGGGCAGGGGAAGAGCACGCGGTGGCCTGCGGGACCCAGCAGGACCCCAGGGTGCTGGGCCGAGCCCGCAGTCCTAGCGCCGCTGTAGGTCTTTTCTCCCTGGCCCTTCAGGAGCTCGTACCGCACCCTGAGAGTAGGTGTTTGCCGCTGAGGGTTAGGAGCGTTTTGGTTCAACCGCAGAGAAATTGGAGGTGGTTCCTGACTGGACCTGGTACTTGTACGGTGGACTTTAGTCTTCACCTCTACGGAAGCATCCAACTTCTGCAGAGTAAAACATTAGACGGTGTGACTTACCGGTAGTGATTTCTGACTTGGAATTTGTGAGAAACTAGAAACTATGACCAGTTTGGCTTTTTGTGTGTTATATCACATCAGTAGTTAGTTGGTCTCTGTGAAAGCGCCGGAGTACATACAGAAACTCACCGGTATCAGACTTAATTATTGCTCCTAATTTGCAGACGAAAGGAACGTCATCTTTTGGAAAGCGTCGCAATAAGACGCACACGTTGTGCCGCCGCTGTGGCTCTAAGGCCTACCACCTTCAGAAGTCGACCTGTGGCAAATGTGGCTACCCTGCCAAGCGCAAGAGAAAGTGTAAGTGAGGTAGTGTTCAAGCTGGTTTTACCTGGCACCTTAGGAGTACAGCATTGAACTTTTTAATTTGGTACATGGCAAAATTCTTGCACACTGGTATATTGGTTAAGTGGCTAAAGGTTCCTAAATGACATTTCTAAGGGAATAGACCAAATGCCACAAGGTGTGGGGAAAACCATTTGGAATCTTTTGTTTTATTAGATAACTGGAGTGCCAAGGCTAAGAGACGAAATACTACCGGGACTGGGCGGATGAGGCACCTGAAAATTGTCTATCGCAGATTCAGGTATGATTTTAACCTTTTCCATTGGATGGTAGTGTGAGTTAAGTATCTGGAATAACTAAGTCTGGCCCGGCGTGGTGGCACACGTTTAATCCCAGCATTCAAAAGAATAAGATGGGCCAGGGAGGTGGCTCAGTGGGTGAGGAATACCTGGGTCTCTCTGTGTGGACTAAAGTATTACGAGGGTGTTATTCTTGGCAAAAATTGATTTTGCAGAATGTCTTCCCTTTCTACAAAGTCCACAGAGATTCTAACTTTAAAAGACCTAGACAGTTCTATAGGCTTAGTGTTCCGTAGTTGCCAGTGTAAGCTAAGACTGTGAACTTGCGTTGTGTTTTAGACCTGATTTACCTTTCTCTGCTTCTGTTTACTCCTCTTCCTAAAGGCAGTCAGTGCAGCTTTCCTAGAGTAGGTAAGAGTATTAAGTTGGAGGCAGGCTGATGCCTCTGGTTGCAGGCCAGCTGGGGCTACAGGAACCAATGTAGAACCCTAGTTTAGTTTCAGAGGTGCTGTTAAACTGGCATTGTATTGGAATCACAGTTAACTATAGCTTATCGTGGGTGTCTTAAGCAGTAAAATAATAGCAGCTTATCTGTGATGTTCTAAAAATAAATGTCTGAACATATGAATGCTTTATTGATTTCAGCATTTAACTGAGATAAGCTCATTAAAATCTGTTGGGTTTAATTTTGAAGTTATTTATTGATGTTGCTACATTAACTTAATCTTTAACACTGCACAGACATGGATTCCGTGAAGGAACGACACCAAAACCCAAGAGGGCAGCTGTTGCAACATCCAGTTCATCTTGAGGATTTTGGCCATCAGTCATAAAATAAATGTTCTGGTTTCAAAAACTGTATATGGTGTGCTAAGGTATTTTAATCTCATTTCAATGTTAAGTGATTATTTTGGAATACTAAATTGTGCCTGGTAGTCTTAATACCTGGGAAATCATAAAGTCATTGCCTTAGGCTATCAATAAGGGCAGAAGTTGGATGAATTCTTCAGGAAAGACTCTTAACCAGTAATGATCATACTAGCTTGGTCCCTAGCATGTAGAGTGATTTGCCACGGGAAAAGTCTTGTTTGGAAGAGGTCAGCTGAAAGAAGAAAGTCTGAACAGCCGTGGGACAGCCAAATGTAAGCACAGATTTTAGGCAGTGTACATCAATACCTGGTGGGGGGGGGGTCCTGCATTTACCTCATTTCCAGGGAATTGAGGGTGTAAGGAGGGCGAAGATAAGTGGTAATGTGGCCAAGCTGTGCAGCATGAATTACTATTATGTTTAGAACATCTTGGTGCTTAGTCTATATGGGAAAGCATAAGTAGGTCGTGTGCACATACTGTGCCATTTTATATAAGACTCTTGAGAATCTATGAATTTAGTTCTAGAGCCAAACCCTCTTGTACTAATTAATATCTACCCTTATCCTGGTTTTTGTTTTTTTTAAGGTGTGTACCACAATACCCAACCCTTACCTGTTTTTGAAGTCTTTTTCTTAATGTGTTTGAGCATATCACCTCCGTGTGTGTAAGTGTACCTGTGTCGTGCAGTGCTTACAGAGAATAGAGGATGTTGTATCCCCTAGAACTGGAGTTATGGATGGTTAGGTCTTCTGCAAGAACAGCCAGTGCTCTTAACTGCTGATCCATCATCTTTCCAGGCCCTGAACTCTTTAAATCACCCATCAGTTCTCAGCTTTTAAGCTTTATATATATATACACACACATACACATGTATATATGAATGAAGGCCTCTATATTTGGGGGGGGGGGTTGAAATGGCCTCCCTGTAGACCAGGCTGGCCTGGAACTCAGAGATCCTTCTGCCTCCCAAATGCTGGGACTGCAGGCATGTACTGCCCCGCCCAACTTTGTTTCTCTAATTTTTAATTGGGCTCTCTGCTAGTGGAATGTGGAGACAGGCCCGTAATCCCAGCATTTGGGGTGTGGAATCAGGATTTTTTTTTTTCCTTCTGTTTCCTAAAGAGACTGAACGCAAATCCTGCCACAGCCTCCTGAGTAGCTGCAGCTAAGGTATGTGCTACCAAGGCAGACTTTTCAGTGTCATTTGCCATAGCTTCTATCTGAAATGGCCTTTTCCCATTGTGTGTGTGTTTGGGCACACATGAATAGGACAAAGTTTTCAGAGTGGGTTCCAAAGATAGAACTCTGGTGGCAAGTGTGTGTCTGCTGAGCCATCTTGCCAGCCTTTGTGTTAGTCCTTTTACCCCCCCTCTGCCTTTTTCCACAAGGGACTGATGTTCTATAAAGTTGGAAAATATAGACAGCAGAAGAAAGATTGAGACAGCCGCATTTAAAGCTTCCAAGGTCTGGACATTATACAATGGAGGCTGCAGAAAAGAAAAGTACCTTCCTGTTTTCAGGCGCTCACAGGAATCAGCAGTTACAGGGTAAATAAGAGCATTGACCAGTGTAGGTGGAGTGAGGGTGAGAATTGACCTAAGGAATCTCAGAAAAGAAGCTGAATGGCTTTCATGGAATTGGCATAATGGTGGTTTGTCTGCTCCAGAGGATGGGAGTTGTCAATTGAAGGATTTGCTGGATTGGCTTTGTTTCTGAAAGGTTAAATCTGCTTTTTTGTTATGGTTTTGAGACAGTAGGATCGCCATGTAGTGCAGGCTGGCTTGAAACTGTAAGTGTGATCTTGAACATAGGCTCAATCTTCACATAGCGCAAGTCTGAAGCCTGGCCTACATTGGTAAGCCCTATCAAAATAAAGAGGTCCAATAGAGTAGCCTTCAAAAATCTAATCCAGGGATCCTAATATGCCTTAGGGTAAGGATGTGGGTAGTGCACTTACTGAAATGTACAGAGTAGGAGTGGGGGGGGGCAATTAAAAGTAAGTCTTCCCTGAAGTACTGATAGAACATCAGGACAAAACACACTTGCATGAACGTCATGCCTCAGGTGGAAAGCTACTACTGGAGATCTACAATTGATCAGAATGGTGAAAGCAACAAAAACTAGGAGGTACGAAGAGTGTACGATTTAGAAATAAAAAGGGTTTAATTATTGAAGACATTTGAAATAGAAACGCCAAAGAAAGTTGAGACAGCAGACCCTTGGAGGTTTCAATAACATGCATGATGTGTGTATTATGAAGAGGGGCAGATAATTAGTAATTTCAGGTAGTAATAAGGGTGTAGGTAGATGAGCGTGTGTGTACCTGATGAGAAGTGAGGATGGAGGCCTTTAGTAAAAAGCTAAATGGTGGGGCCATTCATGTAAAGACAGGAGTAGTCGGAAACTGCTCTCAGCCTTTTAGAGTTTGGAAAATTTTGTCCTGGTTATGGTTAGTAAAAACATTCATATATCCATATTAGCAAAATAATAAACTTAAAGAAAACCTTTAATTTGTAGTTTGGATATAGTCTCTGAAAATCTTAGGATAGAACTGAGTGATGAATAAAGGCAGAGTAGAAACAGTGAAGCAAAGGAAATTCAATGAACAAATGGTCCTATATATAAGTTCATAGAATAGGCAAGATATGTGAATGGAGAGCAAAACAACTTTTTGTGCCCTGCAACCAGTGCCCAAGGTGAAGAAGGGGCATATCACTCGGGACATTCCTTAGCAAGTATGATGTCCAGTCTGTTGTAATAGCCAGAACTTAAAACTGACTTAACCTCATATCTCAGTTGCAGCTTGCTTTGGCCTAGAAACTGAGAATACCAGGGTAGATAGACCACACCTTCTAAGAGTAGATAGAAGTGAGGGCATAGAGATGTCAGGGATGACTAAGTAGCTTCTCTTCCTAGGCACCCAGTGGCCCCTTTAGAGGCTACCTCTATAGTTCCTTTGAACCTAGTGTATTCAATTCAAATATAGCCTCAAGTTCTTCTTGGTCCATAGTTTTCAGGAAAGCCTCTTTGCTACAGATCTGTAAACCCTCAGGGCCACATTGACAGGCTCAGAATAGTCTTGGTGACTTGGTAGGAATTAGGATCACTGCAGAGATAGGCCTTTGAGTGAGTGTGATTCCAAATAGGTGAAACTGAAATGGGACAACCCATCCATAATGTGGACCTCAGCATTCTATAGGTAGGGGTCCCCAGGAATAATAAAAAGAAAGCGTGAAGAACACCAGCATTCCTCTGCTTCCTGAGTGGGGGTGTGGTACAGCCTGCTGCCAGCTTGAGGTATATTTGGCACCATGCCTTCCTGCCTTGATGGACTGACTACAAACTGAGTGGAATCATTAGGTTGCAGAAGTAACCAGCTTCTAAGTGGCCCGCATCCTTGACCTATAAATGATTTCTGTCATTAGATGTTGAAGTAGAAAGATACTGAAGCTTAAACAATTCTTTTCCTAAGAATGTCTTCACTGGCTTGAGTGGTACACACCTGTAATGTGAGGCAGGCAAGTATAGTGGATAATTTTGCAATCTGGGACCTGTCTTATTACAAGTTGGCAGCCTGTGACCCTTACCTGCATGTACTAGGTGCATCACACTCTGAACAATGGAATAAAACCATCAACAGATTTTACTTAATTATGTCCAGATTTGGGGGTGTGGATTGAACTGATTGTGGGTGTATGTATGCAGTAAGACAAACTCCACATGTGAACTTTTGGGAAAGAGTCATATATGCCATCTTAATAATTGCGGGCAAACATGGAAAGGGACATGCACATACAGCACTTGTGTAACCTAAGTCCCTCAATCAAAATAGAGAACCACCCAAATTACCCCTCCTAGTAACTTGGCTTCTGTTTTTCCTCCATTGCATTTATGACCTGTACTTTTGCTTCAAAAAAAGCTTATTACCTTGCTACTTCCGCAATCTGAACATTTCAGTTCCTTGAATAAAAAGCCAAGAACCTGGTTCAAATCCCAGCACCCACATGGCCGCTAACAACTGTCTGAAACTCCAGGAGGTTCCAGGGGACCCAACAGCCTCTTCTGTCCTCCAGGGGTATTACGTGACACAATTGCACTTAACCTACGTGCAGGCAATACATGCATACCTTGCTACTTCCGCAATCTGAACATTTCAGTTCCTTGAATAAAAAGCCAAGAACCTGGTTCAAATCCCAGCACCCACATGGCCGCTAACAACTGTCTGAAACCCCAGGAGGTTCCAGGGGACCCAACAGCCTCTTCTGTCCTCCAGGGGTATTACGTGACACAATTGCACTTAACCTACGTGCAGGCAATACATGCATACACATAAAAATTAAAAAAAAAAAAAAAAAACTGGAAACAGCAGGCCCAGTGCAGCCATGGGTGATACCAGCACTGCAGAGGTAAAGTGACAAGTATCAGCTGATGACTGAATGCTGTGATCAGGTTCTTGGATATGTTTTGTGTGTATGTGAAAGTGGCTATGTGGAAGTTCCCAGAATCAAGAGTCCGTTGAGATAGAATGTTATGTTTGTGGGGCTGGAGAGATGACTCAGTGGTTAAGAGCACTGTGTTCTTGCAGAGGACCTGGGTTCAATTCCCAGCACCCACATGTTGACTAACAACCATCTGTAACTCCAGTTCCAGGGGATACAGCACCATCTTCTGACTTCTGGAGGCATTGGACGACACAGGTGTACTTACATGCAAGCAATCCACTCATACACATAAAAATATTTTTTAAAAAAATTTAAGGGCCAGTAAAATGGCTCAACAGGTAATTACTTACCTCCAGACCTAATGACCGTAGTTCAGGACCCACATGGTGGGAGAACTGACTCCTGCATGTTATCTGATGTTCACGTGTGTGCCATGGTACACATGAACCCATGTATACACACAGCAAAAATGAAATTATGCCATATATGTCTTAGCAAGTAATACTGGGTGGTCTGAGAGGGAGTCATGCACATGATCCATCTGCTGGG